TTCTTTTCAAAGAAATCTCAGCTCTTTAAAATGCCTTCAAGAAAAACTCGATCCTTCAACCTCAAGAATCCTTTCCTGAGTCACTTTTTCCTTCATCCCTATTCCTTCATTCTTTGTTTCTGTCTAGTTGTCCTCTTGACCTCCCTGCTAGACTCCCCACTCTTTAGGGTATTTTGCTGAGGGCTTGTGTTGCATGAGGCACTCTGCCAAATGCCCATACACAGGCATCCATGAATAAAAGTGGAATAGAATAAAATGGAATAGAATAAAAATGGGCCTTGCCTTCAGAGAGTCCGTCGTCTACTAGGAGAGCCAAATTAATCGAATAACCCAAAACCCTCTTGGTCTTTTCCACCTCTGCACCTTTTTGCTCATATCACTTTCCCCATTTGCTGTAGCTTTTAAATCCTGTTCATCTTCCAGGCTTCAGTGAAAATCTCTTTATACATAGCACAAACGTACAGTGACCAATCTAGTCAACTGACAGCAACCTGCACCTTTGCTGAGCCCCACGCACCACTGACCACACCAGATCGGTGAAGGACCTCAGTGAAGGCCACCGTCAGTCAGCTCACAGTCCAAGGCAGACATCAGTGGCTGATCCCAGTACTCTTGTCACAGAGCCAGGAAGAAATGCCTAGACTTCACCCAACACAGGAAGTCAGACAGTCACTACCAATCAAGTAAAGCTGAGTCCTCGAAAGAGTCACTTCATCCCTTGCTATACAGCAGGTGGTGATCAGTGACCTCTGCCTTCTATGTCATCCCATCCTTATGTCTGGATGTTGTCTCTAATACTTTCTATGGGCTAAGAGGCAGGGACTATGCTCTTGTTCCTTTAGAAATTCTAATTCTGAAAACATGTGCTGAGCAAAGACTACAAGCAGGCCCTGCTATGAGGGCTACAGGAAATACAAAGATAAATGACACATGATCCTTGCAGCCAAGAACTTCCAATTATTTTTTGAGAAATGAAAAGCTCACAAATATCTACAGCACAGGGCAGAATAAAATGAATGTCATAAGGCCAACCTAGATTTTAGAAGCGCTATCACCTATGACCTATGACAGAGTTAGGTCATAAAACTCTCCCTTCCCATCTGCCTTCTCCCTCACCCATTCCTCACTGAGTCTTTGGAAAAACGGCTTCACTTTCCTCTTATATAACACTTAGTGACTAATTAAGGTCACCTCAGTCTGGCCGAGAGATTTTTGTTTGTTTGTTTATTGTAGAATGTGAAGCATCTTTCCAATATCACGTTCAGCAATTCCACCTTGCTAAGTTGCAAGAAGAAGCAGAGAGCCTCAGCAGTTACACTGGACAATGCAGCATGAAGGGAGATCAACACATCACTCATATGTGATTCAAATTTCTCTGGGGCTCCAGAAGGGGCAAGTTTTTCTCGCCTGAGATTCTTCTAAATATTCTCTCTTGCCTCAAAAATAGCAGCTCTGGGCTCCTCCGGTGTCCTGCCCTCTGCAGTTGGTTCTAATTTCTACTACTTCCTCTCAAGGAAAGAAAATAAAAGTCCTTTGACCTCTTCACTCACTCTCTCATCAAACTTCACCTTTGCTCCTGCCCAGACACTCCTGATGCCTTTTCTTTCACCTCATTTCTCTTTCCTCTCATTACAGATTCATTTCTTGGCTCTTTTTTGCCTCCTACTGCCTTGTGACGAATCCCTTTTAAAATAACACTGGTGACTCACCAGTGGATACTGTATTCCATTTATATACACCCCCCTCAAGGGGCATAAAGAGTTTCACAGATATTCAGTCTTATTTTTACCTTGTTCTTGTAAAAGAGTTGTCTGTCAAAGGGGAAGAAAAATGTGCTTAGGTCTTTGTCTGAATCACTTGTGTATTTGGGCTGATGACCAGTTTTTCTCATTTCTAGGCCTCTTCCTTCTGCCCATGACCCTCTCTTGGTGGTTTCTTACTTTCTTCAGGCTTCATTAATACCCACAGCTGACATTAGATTAAGATCTTACCAATCAGTTGTGCTGTTCCTTAACCAGGCACCAGAGTCCAAACTGAACACCTCACAGGAGCCTCTCAGTTCCTCCATCTAGTTCATTCCCACTTTGGGTGGGTGAACAGGCTTCTCCAGCACTTCCATGGAGCCCCCTGATCTTCGCTTCCACTGCCTCTGCCTGACTCAGAACATCATCTCCTCCAACCTGAACCAACTCTTCCAACATGTGGTGGTCATCTGACTTGTCCTCACCTCCTTCAACCTCCTTGCTACCCTCCTCTAAATCTTACATCTGATCATGGGTTCCCTGGGCCCCTCTGTCTAAAATCCTAACCATTGCCATTTTACTCTGGGCCTTCGCAATCTAACTTCAAGCTACTTTCCTCTGAAATCTCTGAGCTATCCAACCTTTCTGGAAATAAGCTATTTTCTTACAGATGCCTCAGTTTCCCCATAACTATGCTTTCCTGCAGCTCTCTTTGGCACGAGTACCTTCATGACCTTTTCTCCCTAGTGAGCCTCTTTTCAGATTTGACGGCACAATTTTTGTATCAGCTCATCCTAACCTTCCCCAGAGCAGATCCAAATGTCTTCTCTTCTGCATTCCTATAAATATGCATGATAATTGCTAGAGAAAATGTAGCTACAGGGTAGGACATATTTATAAACATGTTACTGAAGCCAGTCTCTATGCCAGGCACCAAGTACATAGACATCAAATTCAGTCCCTGCCTCAAGTAGGGACTTACCTTAAGTAAGACTGAAAATAAAGGTGGGGAAACAGTATTGTCCAGAGCAGTAACAGAGATCAGCATAGAGGCACATGAGAGCCACCTCACATGGACAGACAACATCAGGAAGTTCTCCCAGAGGAGCCAAGCTGGGCCCGTTGGATCATCCAAGTGGGAGTGGTTTTGATACCATCTGGGCTTTATGATAAGGACTGGATCCTGTGTCCTGGAACTCTGCAAGTACTCAACAAATATTCAGGACATTGAGTAAACCAGAAGAGGCTTGATTAGTGGATCTTGAGAATTGTATTAATACACCTTCATTGCTCTTCAGTCCAACCTCCTACTTCTTCTGGAAGGATGACTCCAATTTTGTTCCCACAGGTCTGATCTCTGTTCAGTCAATAAGTCATGTAAATCACAAGTGAACACCCATAAATGATCTTTTCTCTTACCCCAGTCTTGGCTTCCTGCATCCAAGGAAATTAGTGAACTGAGTTGATGGCCAGTGCATTTGGCATGCACAGCCAGGCTATGCCACCAGCTGGGAAGTCCTACAAAACTGCTGTGCTCCTTGACTAAATAGGAAAAGGGACTATGGGCTGCTCCATGCCAGGTCAGGTTCAAAGTTCACTGTATCCAGTGCCTCCTCCTGAGTGGTTCTTGTCTTGTTCTCTGTACTTCATTTTCTACTCAGCAACTGATGCTATTTGCCATGTCCTTTAAAGTAAGTATTCGCTCCTTGGTGCAGTAGACAATGCCCTTCAGGTCATGGCCTCTGTGTCTCCGGCCTCACCCTCACCCCGCTGCCCCTGCTGTCAGCCCCACCTGTCCCACAGTCACAGGACACAGCTCACATTTCCTTATGCATCACGGTCTCTCACCTGCATGCCTCCACACGTGCTGCTCACTGCCTTTGCCTAGGGCACGTGGATACTGGGTGACTCAAACTCATTCTTCCAGTCATTTTCAAGGGCAAGCTGTTCTGACCCTCGCTACACATGAAATCAGTGCAGATTTGCTCTGTGTCTAGCATTCTGCAGCTCCCATCATTTCCCATCTTCCACTTTCCTGGAGCGTCCTCTTACTGCTTGCTTCTGCACCAGTGTGAGATTCCTGAGGGTGTGGATCTGAAGGCCAGGGGTCTGCTCAGCCCTGCATTCCCCAGCACAGCATCTAACAGTGAACACCTGTACTGGGTGAGCAAGGTGACGATGGAAGGAAAGTGTCAGGTCCTGGGGAAGGGGGAATGGGGAGAGTTTCCGCCAGAAGGAAGAAGGGTTTTGTTTTGTTTTGTTTTGTTTATTGCTGCATCTCCTGCTTCTCGCTCATAGTACCCCCACAGTGCACATTTTTCAAATGAGTGAATGAAGTCAGCAAGTGTGATACTATGTCAACCTGAGTAGTCTCTTCATAGTCTTTACATATGTCTTGGACATAAGAGGTATCTGAGGGAAGGGGCAAGATGTGCCTGTCCATAGTTTGAACTTGAGACAGTGTTTCTGTGGGCTCATGGCTCAACTCTACCCCTTGCTAACCAAGGTGTTGAGTGATCAGATTAAAATTCAATTAAGAACACCCTGCAATTTGTGGTCACATGAAGGAATGTCCTACATGACTTTTGGGGGGGCTTTAAAAGCTTACTGACAGCAAAGCATAAAATTAACATAACAACAATAACAGAAACTACCATAATGTGGTAAACTTATTGTCTAGTTCAAAATCCATTTATTTTTACTTGAATAAATTTTATTTATACTAAAACCCTAGCTTTTGCTAACTGGACAAGTGAAAGAAACAGCAAGTCCTGCACCCTTCCCCCTTTAACAGGACACCAAAAGAGACTGAGAAGTAGGAGATTTATCTCCAAGAAATCAAATTTGAGTGAAGCCATTTTGGCCTAATGGACCCTCAGAATGTAGAGACAATGACGATTAAATTATTTTCTTCTTTAATCTGTAAATAGCACTCTGATCTGAGGACAAGTGGACACAGATCTTGAATTGCTATTGTGGTCACAGTTGACTATATCAAAGAGAATCATTACAACGTGGAACTAAAGAGATGAAAGTAGCGTTCATCTCTGATCAACACTAGACAGAACCTCTCCCACCATGGATACCATCAAAGAAAAACACACTTAGGTAAGGAATAGAGCAACAAGGATACATTACAATTGCCTAAATATAATGAATAGTCCTCAGAATCATTCTTAATAATAAATATTTATTAGTTATAGCAACTAAATTAACATGAAAGACATTAAAATATATAAGAAAATAAATTTATTCATGCAGCACTTTCATAAAAGATGAATATAGCCTAATTAGTCCATAAACTTGTGGAAGGACATGAGCTGGCCAGCTATAGAGGGAGCAGGGTGCTGGAAGGCCTTTATCAGGACTTGGTCACAGCTGTATGGGTGGATGGCTGGGCTCCCGTAGGGTTGGTCTGGATCATGCTTCTTCTGGTGTTGGACTTGCTCTTTATGCTTTTGACTGCTGATTTCACCCACCTGGCATCTGGGTCAGCGCAGATTTTAAGGCCACGTTTGGTAATAAAACTACAATTTAAGGAAAAGATAGATGGCATTAGCCACATTCTCCAAGCCCCAGGATAAGGAGGAAGATTTGACCAGACACAAGATTTGTACAGAATTAACCAAAGAAACAACCTTTAGGAACTAACAGACCATAATGAACACCCTTCTCTTGTCTTTATCTTGACATAAAGAAGAAATATTTGCAGGCAGTTCCTACCTACTTTGTCCTCCATAATTCAAAGATCGTTTTGCCAGCAGTGCTACCAAAGGTTGTAATGTACCTGGACAATTAAGATCACCTAGTTTAATTATTACATATCCTTTACCTTTTCAAGCCTAGACATATTCACCTTATTTTTTGATTAAAGGTGATTTCTTTAATTTCTTATGATAAAACCTGTAAATATGTACTGGGAGAACTGCTCCTCCTAAAAAAGAGATCTGGAGAAAGAATAACCAGTCCTTAGATTGCTAACTGATACTGCACGCTTGGCCCTCTGCCTCTTTCCTACCCTACTTTAGCTCTGTAGGCAAGTCCTGGTCCAGGGCAGCCATGTCTAAGCCTCAGCCTCATAACTGGGCATGGTATTCAGGTGGTTTCCAGCCAGACTCTTCTCTTAGGCAAAGTCAGAAGAGAAGACTTACATTCCTTTCTGAGGCTGAATTTTGGCAATGATTGTTACTTAGGAAGGGTGCATGAAGAGATGAGGAATATGGACCATTGAGGGGGCTGCAGGGGAAGTGGAGGCTTTCCTCCACGCTGATCTGTCTTCCTGACTGTTCTCTGTTTCTCTACACCAAGCCCAGCCACGGGGAGACACTCACATCACTGCCCTCACGGAGCCCTCCTTGATGGTGTAGGTCTTGATTCTGCTCACTGGCAGTCGCTGGGTTGTTAGGCTCACACAGATACTGCTTTCTGGGATTTCACTCCCCACAGCTGGTTAAAAAAAAAAAAAAGAATAAAAATGTAAGTCAACAATCACCTGTTAAATTACTCTAAGAATGATTTAGGAACATATGGCCACTGTTCCTTTTGGAAAGAGATGGCTCGTATTGGCATCCTTAGTCTCCTGTACATCATATAGTCTTAGTAAATATTGAATTAATTTTTAAAAAATTAAATCAAGCATAAAGATCCAGGCACCTGATTATGGTGAGACGAAATAACAAAGCATTATCTGTGGTTATATTTTCAAGGCCCCTGTGATGGAGAGCCGATACCCCAGTGACACTGACTCATTCATTTCTACTGCAGCTACTTATCCCCTGCCTGCTGTGACCCTAGTGCTGAAGGCGCTCATGAGGACAGACACAGACCCTGCCTTCCTGGGGCACATCTGCTAGTGAGAGGCAGGGCAGCAAACAAGCGAAGAGAGGATACAGTTTCCAATAGTGTAAGTGTCACCGTGCTAGAGTAAATGAGACAAAGTGATGGGCAGTAATTTGGGCAAGGCAACTTTCAATGGAGGAAGCAGCTTGCTTTGACTGAATGAATAAAATCTTCTCATTTTAATGGAAAATATGAAATATATGAAAGGAAGGTTTCCTGGAATGTTTATCCTCAAAGGAATGGGCTAAGGGAAATTAAACTGTGCAGTTTAAAGAACCATGTTACATTGCAGAAGGGAAAAGTAACTTGAGAGAGTTAATAATATCAAAGGTTTGGTAAAATCTAATCCAATTTTCTAAACACTGACCACCTTAACTACAGATACTGACAATGTGCTTCACAAAGAAATATTCAGCTAAAAAAGCACACAAACTGACCACGGATGATGATTGAGTTTGGACTGTAATGTTGCTGTATCAGAAAGTATTTTTAAAAGCAAGTGACCAAGCAGAAGTTGTTTACAAACACTGCTTTTCTTCTGTGCTTCTTTCTGTTCTTCTCCCTGCCAGTTTGCAGGTTCTTCACCCTCTTCCTTTGCCAGTTCATTTTTAATGTCGAACTGGTTCTGGACTCAGGAAAAAGGAAGCATTGGCTCCTTTTCTCCTTCTCTCACTACTTAAGAAACAGCATTTCTTTCTGTGGACACCTAACATGGACCTCCATGACCCAGGTGACCCTACTGTATTCTAAACCCCAGTGCTTATTCCCAGAGATGCCTGAGTGTCTGTTGGGATGTTCCTCACATAGGTGGCAGAGCTGAGTCAAGCCAAGATTGTTTGACTCCATGTCTTACATAAGAAACCGAGATCCAGTGGGGTTTATAAAGCTCCTTCAAGGGGAAAACCTGAGACCTGAATGCCAGAGTCCACAGTTCTAAGACACTTGCAAGACACCATTGTGCTACCCTGCCCAGGTCTGGGTCTCTTCCAGATGGTGCAGCCATTGTCTCAGCAAAGAGCCAGGCATGTATGTCCTAATTTGAGTCATCTCAAACTTTATGGTTTCATAATTGTTCTTTTATTTTGTCCGCTTACAAGGAATTCCAGACTTTGCCACCTTCACACAATGACGCTCTTGGGGATCCATGATCAAGTCATGGTATTGTTGTCTAAATGCACACACCAACTCCAATCAGCGGGGAAAAGTGATCCCTTAAGAAATATCTCCTGAATACTCAAATAAGGCTCATTATATCTGCATCTAACCTGGATGTGCCATGCAGATTTATTTAATTGTGTACAAGATGCTGCTCTCTCTGTAACAGTTATTATATGATCTCTTATAAATTCAAGACATCTATCATAAACTGTACCATTCATAGTAGTAATAGTACATTCCCTCACTTTCTTGAAGGTACCATTGATTTTCTGGATATGAAACTATGAGCTTCCAGTCATTTTTAATTTGATTTTTTAAAGAAGAAAACATTGATTTGCTTCAGGACATACATCCTGTAACACATTCCCATATTGTGGGGAAACTTCCAGAGATTTTTGAGAAACTATCACAATCAATATTAAATGAACAAAACCTACAAATGTAATTTATAATCATTGGCAGCACCCCATAGTTAATATTAATGTTTAAAAATTGCTGTTTCTAAGATTTGATATGATTAAATAATCCATAAGTAAATAAATCAGAAAAGTTATTTCATTTTTGATTCTGTTAGAATATTTAACATTGATTTTATAGATAGGTAAGCATAGGCCTAGAATGGTTAGGAAATTCACCACAAGTCACCCAATTAGAAAGATTTGGAGCCAGATACTACCCAGTTCTCCCCATTTTGGGAGTCTACCCAGTGCCCTAGAGTTAAATTCCACTTCCAGTCTGCATATGGGAAGTTTGAGGCTCAGCTTGGGGCTGCAGTTTCTTGCAGTCAAAACTCGAGTCAAACCCAAAGTGGTGTGCCCACCCGCCTGGCATCCCTGCTCCTCATCTCCAAAGCAGCTTCTGAGCTTACCTTTCACAGTGCATGTGGCGAGGCAGCAGGCGCCCAGGACGGCCAGGAGGAGAAGTCTCATGGCTGGGGTCTTGCTGATCTCTGCACGGAGAGAGTGATCATTAGCCTCCTCCCCAGATTCTTTTATTCGTGCAGTGGTCAGCGCACTTCCTGTGGAGAGATGGGGCTTTCGGGGTGGGCGTGGAATAGTGGAAAGTCTTTGCAATACTGGTGCTTTTTCTTTAAAAAAAAAAAAAGTTCCTTTGCCCTGTTCATACTAACCTCACACATTGTGGCCTTTTCCTCTTCTGTGGTGAATGTGTCAATGAAACTAAATTTATGCCTAAAGAAAACGTGATTGTCTCATCGCCAGCCACTAGAGTCAGACCTCCCATTGCAGATGCGCCCCACAGCCCTGTCAGTGCCACAGTACCGCATGGGACAGTGTAAGGACGTGAAGGGCAGTGGTCACTGAGTTCCATCCCCCCTGCCTCCTGTGGTGGGGTCTTCCTCAGCTGCGGATCAGGAGCCGCAGTGCCGCTGTGTGATTTCCCAGAACGGGAAAAGGACTCTGGGGCCACACTGGCATCTTATTTCTTTATCTTCAAATTTTATATAAATAAATATATATACATACATATATATGTACATATATAAATATATATATGAGAGCTATTGAAAAGGTACCATACACAGACTTTATTTTTTAAAAAAGAAAAGATGGTCTGCAATCTTGTCATCTGCAAGCTTTCATTTTTAATGTTAGTGATCATGAAAATGGAAATTTAGATCATAGTGTGCCCCTGCTTTCTTTTCATTCAAATAGCCAAAATTTTCATTCAAATAGCCAAAATTATTAACGCTGATACTAGTACAGTACTATGACAGCCACAACATGGAGGAATCTATATTACTCATGGATTAGTAATTGATATAATACTTGGATGAGCAAATTGGGATTGTCATGTAAAGCTGAATATTTGCATACCATGAATACATTTGCATATCAGAAATTCTGCCCCTGGACATAATCTTAGATAATTTCAAAGGAAAGGAGCACATGAATGTATGCAGTGTGATCGAAATATACAATGAGCACTTATGTTTTTAAAATTGCATTACAATAAAAGACACATTGCCATTATTTCTCCTCAAAATAGGTCTGCTTATTTCTAACAAACATTCCATCATTTTTGTTACTTTCTGAAATGGTTCTGAAAGTCCCCTTTTCTGTCCTAAATTGTGCTGTCCTGGCTACCATATGCCCTGAATCAATTCAAAATGTTTACCTTTCGTGATCATTTTTACTTTGGAGAAGAGCCAGAATTCTCATGGTGCCAGATAGCGTGAACAGGTGGATGAGGACACACAATTTTACCACCTAAATAGGACCTACTTTTTTTTACCTTCCAAAAGTATGAAATCACCTGCTTTCCAAAATCTTTACCAATACATAAAAAAAAATAAGAAACCAATACATAAAAGCCCATAAAAAACCAATAAGATAGAACAAGTATGAACTTTTAACCATTTAGGTTAAAAAGCATACTTTTAATAGAAAGAATTAAGATGTGCTCTGTAAATGTACCAACTTCTTTCAATAAATACAATCATTATGTACTGCAAACATGTACTAATAAAATTTTTAACTTAAAACTTGATTTGAACTTTTACACTTTGATTTTCTTCTTCTTTACTCATGACACTGTAAAAACAATTAACTATTTCTCAAAAAATGAAGAGATGCACAGACAAATGTTGAAAAAATGATTTTATTGCAATGGATTTTGACTAATGATAGTCAAACCTGTAAAATTACATTTAGTAATTCGAGTCACTGTTTATTTAAATTAATGAATTCCAAGAAATATACCAGACAGATGTTATCTACAATAAGCTCATATCAACAACATAGCACAATAATCAACATAATTTATCTGCTAGCATTTTTGCAAAGAAAGTTTAACTAGAACACACCAATGCCCATTTGCTTGCATATCAGCTATGGCTCCCTGAACAACACCAAAGTTGACTAGGTGCACAGTTTTTGGAAGCTAGAATATTTGCCACCTGGTGCTTACAGAAAAAAATTGCTGATTCCTGGTCATACCTTGGTTTGTATTTATTAAAATCCAATACGTTCAATAGGAAATCAATTATGTGAAATATTCAGAGAGAAGAAAAGGACTCAAACAAATACAAAAAAGTATTTACAACTAAGAAGTCCCTTAGGAAGGAACCAGGTTCGTGGTAAAGTTTGGGGAAGGAAGGTAAACCCAGGCAAAGCTAGCTTCGCACATCATGCACTTGCTGTTTAAGTGACATTTCTTTTTTTTTTTTTTTTTTTTTTTTTTTGGTTTTTCTCCGGTACCGGGAACTGAACTCACAACCTTGCGCTTGCCAGGCAGGTGCTTTGCCACTGAGCTAAATCCCCAGCCCCTAAGTGACATTTCTTGTGAGTGAAAGTACAGCATATTAACCTGAAGGCATTTTCTCATCAGGTGAGTGCGTAGTTACCTTGGTTTCCTCACAAAAAGTGCACAACCACCAGAACAGAACTCAAAATTTCTAAAAAGTTCTGTGGTTACCAAAATGTTGAAAACCACTGCTCTGCACCAAATAGTTATGGACTATGTAGGGCCAAAAATAGATAGGCTCGAGGGAATGGTGGAAATGCTATGTGTTGACCACTACAGAGATGCTGCTTAAAAATAGTCTTGGTTACATTGCTCACAATCAGTGGAAAATCTGAACAGAAGAGGTCAGAGTCAAAGTAATCCACTCTCCAGGGAAGGTTAGTATGGGGAGAAGAAAGACACCTACTCTCACAATATCAACCCAACCCCTTTGTCAAGAGATTAATATTGTAGGTAGAGGGATATATTTTCTGATTTCTATTTTTTGCCACAAAGCCTACCATAAACTTGAAATGTTCTGAGGTGCATGACTGAAAGCATTTTTGAATTTCCTAAACCTGAAATCAGCAGGCCTCAAGCTGTCTGCCAATTAAAGATACGGAATCCAGCACCTGACACTGACAGTAGTGGCCAAGAGCCATGCAAGGGGCCTCTTCTGGAGATGCCACAAGCTACACTGGGACCCGTGAGCTGTGGAAACAGATCAGCCAGACCCTCTCCTGGCTCAGCCTCTAAGGACAGATTACATGAAGGAGAATCGCAATCATCCCTGCCTCACAGGTCTCCAAATTAGAGGTAGAACATGCAGCATGACTCTATCATAGGAGGGACTTGGGAAATGGAAGTGTTTGTATTCAAATGACAGACAGTGCAACCATCAGACTTAAGCTGTCAGTGAAGTTGGGGATAAAGGAACACATAGTTTTCCTCAGAGCATAGGACGATATTTCTATGAATAATTACTGTTGTGGGAGCCAGCTAAACCTATGACTCTCTGCTTCTCCTTCCTGTGCATATCTGAAGTGCCAGGAGGAAGAGGCAAGCCCATCACTGCACACCTTTGCTTTGACCTCTTCCTGGAAGACATCCCCATCTTCCCAGTGGAATGACCAGTCACAAAGACAAGACCTCCTGACTGCAGAGCACGAGGGCACAGGAATGTTATGGACTACCCGATTTTCAGATGGACTAAAACAACTTTAAAAATTTTTAGTGTATATAGAAATCTTTTCAAGATCTTTTTCTAGTAGAACAGAATGGAAAAAGTTTGTTTGATGGCAGATGCTTTCTTAGTTTTAAAGCCTCAGGTCAGTCATCTAGTACACAGACCCTTGATTCTCAGAGCACATGTATTAACTTGAAGGGTGCATGATCCTGGACATCCGAAAGAGACTCCAAAGTTGATTGTGGAGTCATATTAATCAAATATTAGCTTCCAAGAAGCCTGGCCTCATTGTTGTCTATCAAACAACAGTTCCTACTTGCCTACTGTGCTGTGATTCACAGCTCTATCGTCACCACCTGACTGTTTTGTGTACTGCACCCTGGGGGCTGCTGTTCTCTCCCTGTTAGAATGTACAGTCTGTGGGAGTGAAGACTTTGCTTCAGCACTGAATCCTCAGAGCCTGTAATGCAGGAACTCAATACATATTTATTGAGTGAATAAAGATGAACCGCTTTTGTGTCATGTTTTTCTAAGAACTTAAAGCAGAAACACAGTTCAAAGTTTAGTTTAACTTGGCGATGACCCGTCACACAAATATTGTCCTAATATGGCAAAGAATATATGATGGAAAAAGTCAAAGGACATAAGAGCTACAGTAGGCTACAAATTATCCAATCAATCTGCCATCTTCTAATGAAAGAAAACAGAGTTATGGTCAAAATCATGAAGCAAAAGTCTGCTCTGTTACCTCCCTCAAAGGGCTCAGTGAAAACCAGAAGGCAGACCCCACCAGTGGAGATACAATCTGAGCAAGGTGAGGAAGATGGGCACATTTGTGCTTTGCTTTTTCAGCGACACAAGGGCATAGCCTGTTCTGGAAAGGGGCATGGTGGAGGATGCCTGTGGAGGCCATGGGTCTGCACAGGAGTTGTCACCATCCTCCTTGAGCTCCTTTGTTGTCGGTCCTCCCAGTGCTACATGGTCAGGACACATCTTTGAGTAAGACCACGGAAAATCTGCTCTGTGACCCAGGAGGCCACATGGTCCAGCACATCTGCTTCCTTCACTCTGCATTCTGCAGTGATGTCACTTGACAGGACCTGGGTAGCTTTTTTTAAAATTTAAGGGATTATTAGTGTCTGTGTTTTAAGAATTGTGTTCAATATCCTTAATTTCATCTTAAATTTTTTTAATACCTTTCAAAGTGAACCATAAATGTAAAGCTGTATTCATACTAACTTCTAATACTTGTTAAGGTTTTATATTCCTCTTAGGTTCTTAGGCTAAATTCATAATCCTGTAGATAGATAGACAGATAATATATAATGATATATATAGTGGCTTATTTTACTTAACACAATATCCTCTAGGTGAATACATGTAATCCATAAGTATAGTATATACTATATTCTGATTATCATATGATTTGTACACATATATCACATACCATATGCACCACATATTTATCTTATATCATATTTATGTATTTGTATAATTTATATATTTATTATAATTCAT